GCACGTTTTCTTAGCACGGGCTAAAGAATTTGACCTCTTAGCCCGTGCTAAGGAGCTGTGCGTGAACGCAACTACTGTCTCATTATTCACTTACCATGCACATGCTAAAAAAATAATCAGCTCTACTTGTTTCTATGAACAATGCTTCCGTCTTTTGACATAAGGTTTACATTTATAACAACGAAATAACAACTATACTGCTGGACTTGCTGTCATACAAAGAAAATGTTTTCCCTTTTCAGGTGTTTGTGTATGACCTAAATGTGAATAAGTATGAGCCAATCTGTGAGCAAGCTGTTGTGCAAAAGAAGAAGACTAAACTAACACACATTGCATTCAACCCATCACAGCCTACTATTATTGTTGGTGATGATAGGTAAGAATTATATTCTTATGCTGGATCTTACTTTTTCCTTGAAATTTTGCATGTTTTTCTATAGTTTTAAACCATTGCTTGCAGATCAAAGTTTGCAACAAAAAAACTGTGTTTACCGGTAAGTTGAAAAAGGTGAAAAAAAGTTGACTTTGGTGTTAATGTTTTTTAATACTATCACGTGACACCAAACCCATCAAGTTGATTTTTTTTTATTATCTAGATTTGAAAAAAAATCCAACTTTCTCCTCCCATAGAAGCCTGCTTATGATTTCAAATACCAATAATTTATTCATTTTCCAATAAATTGTACTTCCGGGCAATATAAAGATAGTGACTTAAAAATAGTTTGTGATTTTACACAATAAACCAATGAACATTGTCAAGTGATTCATGACCAACTTTTTCAAAATTTTCTAACCTTATATTAATCACACTTTTTTTTTCATTGTCCTCTACCCCTAAGAAATATACATTTAATGTTGTTAATGTGTTGATTATTTGATTTTACAGAGGTCATATTACAAGTCTGAAGCTGTCCCCAAATCTTAGAAAGATGCCCAAGGTAAGAATACTTTAGTTATTCCCAGTTTATGCAGCATCATGAAGATAAAATAAATTGAGAAATTTATTCATGTGAAATTGCTATGTTAACTGATTCTCTGAGTTTGCTTTCTGTTTTTAAAGGGTGGTGCTTCTATTGGTGATTACATCAAGGGTAATGACATATGAAATAAACCTGCTTTTTCATTCTCTGCCCTGAATTGACATTTATTTGAAATACAGCGTTGATGCATGCAGCTTTCCACCCTCATAACTGTCTATGTACCCTCAAGGTTGTTTGGATTTGCTTTGTGATTTTCTCCATCCATCCATCCAATGTTAATTGAATCCCCTGATGTTCAACAAATCAATCATTGTTCATTACTCCAATTAAATATATTGCAGGGGATATTAGTAGGCTGCAATTGTTGTGTACCAGTGAAAGCAAAAACAGCTTCTTTCTGTTAGAGTGCCTGTGTATTGTACAAATGTATGATTTAATTTAGCTCCCAGTGTTTAATGATGTTTTTTTCACCCCATCTTCTTATTGTAGGAAAAGAAGGGGATGGAGACTCAAAAGGGTCCCGAAGTGGAGATTGCCAAGATGGATAAACTGTTGGCTTTAGTCAGAGAACCACCACAGAATAAGTAAAAAAACAAAGTATCATAAAATAGAAATTCCATCCAACACATATCTATAAAGAATACGAGCAGACCAAACATTGTAAATTTAGATATGTTATTGACCGTCCAAGTTATCTGTATTTAGGCACCCTACCATTGAACTTGATACATACATTATAATATCAAATATACAGTCAACATCACCCCTACTTTGTAGATTTACCATAATATTTTGTACATTTTTTTTTTCTGTTCTGAAATTGTTCCTACTTTTCTACTGTTATTCTAGGGACTTTTATTGTTTTCCATTCACCATGTTCTAATACAACGTTCAAACATTTGTATATGTGTGTATATATTAAATAATTTACTTTCCTTCTTTGTCAATAAAGAAAATCAAATGGCGCTCTAAGTTATAACTGTTTGTTTTGCATTTATTGCAATAGTATTATGACAAAGAATTGCTGAATTATTGATCTTTTCAATAAAAATACATTATTTCAAATACATAACTATGAGTTTTCATTTCATTGCATTGAGATATGTGGTTTCAATTGGAAGGGGTGATCTTGCTCTGTTATATGCAAGAAAAACATGCTTCACAGAAGCACATTTCCCACTTTTTTGTCATCCATCACTGTTGATGCACCAGGAAGATGAAGTGGGGTGAATATGTTCTGATTTTGGGATGTGAATTTCTTACAATGTCTGATTGTGAGTGTGCAAATCAAAGTGAAAATGTTTTCCTATGAACACTTCCATACCTCTGTTGTCATAATTGGCAATAAACCACTACTTGTCCAAGTATTTGGTACTACTCAATCAGCCATTTTGAGGATAATGTTGTGTTCAGCCAAACTGCTCTATGGTAAAGATATATGGGCATTTTAAAAGTAAGTCACATGACAAACGTTCAATTTTGTGTCATAAAATACCCACAACTCTTTAGGATAGAATACACTAACCTCAAAATGTCCAAATAAAAAAAACACTCTATAATACTCTATAGACTATTAACCTCAGTTGTTCTCCAGTATGTGCAACTGACAAAGCAAATCTGGTACCCCTTTAAGTAGAGTTCTCTGTTTAGGAAATATCTATGGTTGAGTTTTCAAGTATTGTTTTAACAGATAGTGAAGACCCATGCTGTTTAATATTGATTGATGATGCTGCTAATGCATTTTCAGAATCTGGTTACAAAACAAAGACCTCAGTCAGTACTTATCTTTCAAGAGTCGACATAATTTTCAACAGAGGCACTCTGTATTTTAGTGTTATAATTACTTTTTTTCATGTCAGCTGATATACTGATTAATTTTATTGTAATTCTTTTGTAGTATTAATTGGGAATGGCATATTTCTATCAATAATGCATCAATAGTTTAGTACAAGCAGAAAGCGTATTTCGGTACTTGTACAACAAAAATACGCTGATACAGGTGTATCTTCGGCTTTATCTTTGTGATAAAGAAAATAATTTAAAGTCAGGTTACTTTTCAATTTGATTTCGATTTTATCATGTACATTCTTTTCTGAAAAATAATTTAATTGGACTTTGACGGCCTATGATGTCACAGTTACTATCTGATTACTTTTTCTATTTTTATGTTTTGCCTGTTTGACTCTTATCTGCGATACTGTACTGTGTGATCAATTATTGAATCAACCATGACGTATAGCAATCGTGAAATTATGACGACAATTGCGGGATATTTCAATATTTGGTCGAATGCCTTGAACTTTGCTTTATGCCATTGTTATGTACAATCCGGATAAATCGTATTATTGAATTAATGACAAATGGTCGAAATTGTGCGTTTTCATTTGATTGGACGAGATTTAAACTCGTACCGGTAATACTCCCTTCCATAGTACGCCCTCTATGAGCGACGAGCAAGGATGGGTGGGGCACAGCGACAGAGTTACCTGGTCCCATGCGAACACATGTGGCAGGAATGTCGACCCGCTCAATACAACAATAAAACTGTCCACTCTACCTGGTTTCTATAACCGGTGCCGAACCGTTGCCAATTAAAATGTCGTAAAATATCCATGCTGCTACTAGATTCGAAAGCTTCTTATCACACAGCATTTGAAAATGAGGGCGCTCTTTAGACAGCCCTCCAAGGAATACACTTCGCAGATGCAATATGTATACGTGATCCCCCTTCGTTGGAAAGCGAGCAGTTATAATAATATCAAGAGCTCTTGATATATAATAAATTTGAATAGTTAATAAGTATATTTAGTAAATACTTTATTTTGATGAAACATATAGTCCCTGAGATCAGAGAATCATTACAATACACATTTATGGGCAACAACTGTCTGAAGTTTTCTAATCAGACAGCCTGCAGAATATAACCGTAATCAGCGTAATATAGACATCACGTTTAACGACATACATTATAATGATTGATGTGTTTGTCAAAGAATGAATACACAAGTTGTCTATTTGAGTCATTTGTTTCTTTAAACGTTTCTCAGCAGCGGGCAAATAAATTCCAACTGGACACAATTCATGGTGAATACTTTAACTACTACCTGTCTTTGGCGCATCAGATACTACCACGACAAATCCAACAGTTCACAACAGATGCCAAGTATCGGTTTGATTTCTGGTCAAGATAGGTATAAATATATCGGTAATATTAATTGGTATACTTATGGGTCCGTATATGATCAATATACAATGAAACTGTTACCTTACATGTGCTTTTTATTGGAGATGCTCTTCTAATAGAGCAAATAGGGTAACTGTTTTAATTGGAATAAACAGTGATGACAGAACTAGTATTTTGGTATAAATATGGGTTTAGATTTTACCACTATCCAGGTATAAAAATGGTCACATTTTCGAGCGCCCAGGGGCACCTCTCAGTGGCGGATCTAGGGGGGTGTTCTTGGGGTCCCCCCCCCCGTTGAAAAATTTATTCAATTTGTTTTTGTATAATATAAAAAAATCATTAATCTAGTCTGGCGATTTTAAAGTTTGGACCCCCCCGTAAAAAAACTGTATCCACCCCTGCCTCTTTACCCAGCTTCGTATCAACTCCCCCATGGTCTCAGTGTATGTATCTGTAAATTCCTGGTAGCTTATACTCACAGTAGCGTGCTTCATTTTATTTCAAAATACACACCAGATAGCCATTATACCGTGCAGGACTGGTATTTGTAAATACTGCTATGTACTTTGTACAGTGGCGGACCCAGCAAAATTTATTTGGGGGGGGGAAGCTTAGCTTAACATTACGGAGCGAAAATCGCAGAGAAGCTATGCGTAATCCATATGATATGAATCGTCATGCGTTTTTTTTTTTGGGGGGGGGCTCTGGATCCGCCACTGACTTTGTATCTTCTCTTGTTAAATACGGTTGGTTCTTGTCGTTAACAAAATCCTTGTCATTATTTAACGAAATCCACAGATTCGTGTACACGCACAACTGTGGACAGAAAGTCATATATATATATTTAGAACGATCGCTCTTTATTGGAGCAGAACGGTCATGGACTAGTGGACTATGGCTCTGACTACAGGGTTATCGTCACAGTTACAAAAGAACCGATCTAAATACACATAGCAGAATGAAACACTGAAAACACCACCTATACGCACAGGTTAATCCGAGGCCCATGCCCATTATTTTGTGGTATATTTGCTGCCAAAACAACTAAGGTTTTATTACTCGATAATTCACATTCACCCTGACATAGGAAAATTAAATCGTAAAAAAACAAGCCAATTAACAACAAAACAAAAACAATGTTGTTCACATTTTCGAAAACCACGTTTTGGATTATTTTCTCATAAAAACAAAAGCATAAAAAACGAACAGATTATGCGTGAAAGTGTCACTTGAATGTGTGGTAAATTTAAGGATTTTTGTTTCGAACGTAGATGGCAGTATATTACTTCTAATGCATTGGGTTATGAAGATACGTGTATGGGCATGGGCTGCAACCACACTTTCATGGAAATATACTGCTATTTTACACACGACATGTCTGGCTGTGTTTTCATGGGTGTGCGTAAAAGTAAACATATATCCTGTTTTTTTTGTTTTTTTATGACGGCCGCGTGACTGGACAACACTGTATACGACAACACTATGTACAATTCGCTCATCACTCAGGCAATGAGGTGTGACAATATTGAATTTTCAAAGGTCATAAGTTTATTAAGCTCTCTCAGGTGTTCGATAATACTAAAAGTTTACATATTTACACGTATTGAATGGTTGCTATACGCTTCAAGTACTAAAATTCTATGAAGTTAGCACATCACAATTAATGAATACCACCATGACATATTTGGACAGCTAAATAAAATGCTACGACTTTATTTTACCCCATCCCACGTAGATTCCGATTTACAATATATTTTTCATTCCAAATCAGTTTGTGCGTCATTTTGCGTAATCAAACTTAAAATTGAATAATATTTGTTCATTCCTATACACCCCCCTATGTGCTAGTTGCGGAGGACATTAAATAAGTTTTATTAACAAGCTTTATAAAATTTAACAACATGAAATAAACCAAATCCACAGGGACTAGGCAGTGGAGGGTAACCCGTTGCCGGGCAGTTGACACGGTTGGTATAGACAATTTCATACAATAAAACACGGAGCTACGGGTATAATGAACAGCATATTATCTGGGTATGATACTTCGAGGGCAGACTCCAAGCTATGTATTCCAGTGTGGCTGTTTAGCGACGGCAATGATTGACGAATCTCTTCCATTTTTAGTAGTGTATTCTCAAATCTCAAACATATCCAATAACTTAGCCTGAGTACAACTACTCACAGTCCCTTTATAGAGAGAATGTGATATACTAACAAAGCACCGTCGTTAGTACTTTTGTCCCTCGTTCCCATGAGTGTATTCAAGATAATATGGATCGTGGTTTCGGAGTGAGCTTCACATTCCTTAGATTACTTTATGAAGCCACTCATGTACATACCGTGGAACACGTTGTTCCTAACTTGACTAAAACAATATACGAAGCAGTCAATGTTGTCGTTGTAACTTTAGCTTTAGAACGCGACCACGTGCAGTCTCGTATCCGAAAAGTCAAATCTCGGACAAAAAAAAAGTACGACACAGCACGAAATCAATTGAATATTTTGTTAAATATTCTGAACGTTGATCCTTTCTTTGGATGTAACGGTTTCGGTTTAGCCAGTTTGAGTTTGGTTTCCTTAGTCTGTGTCACGGGCTTGTCTTCGTCACTAATGAACAAAGGTTTCAGCGGCTTGTGCCTCTCCGCTTCGTCTCTAATTTCCCTGACTGCGTCAAGAAAGACCTTTTCTACGCTTTCGTAATTACCGGCCGCTGAGGTTTCGTAGAACTTACATGCGTATTGCTGTGACAGGACATTCCCTTCCGATTTGCTGACTTGTCTGCAAAATACAACGTGATAACTTATCAATTGATTGTCGGGTAATATAAAACGCAGAGTGACGTCATGAAGTGAAAATACCATTTATAAGAGGATTATTCAGATATGATAATCCTCCCCGAAAGCAACGATCGACTAATTGTGCGACAGAATAAATGTCAACGCATGTAAGAAAATCATGATTATAAAAATATAAGATGGTATTAAAAGCTAAATCTGGAATGGATCGGACCTAGTGTGTAATCACTTTGTTTTAATCACTGGTAACTATGGTGACACACACACTATATCATGACAGAATAACCATGCAATGAAATAAAGAATGCGAAAAAGAAAACCGCCATTAAAATTAAGTAGTGATGCGATCTGGAAAATAGATATCGATTAGGAAACCATACATCTATAACGTCCCATGTAATACGTTATTCGAAGGTGAGGTCATATAACTCATGTTTGCCCATAGCAAATCCGCAATTGTAACTGTCCTATAAATGTACCTTATTAACGTACAATAATTACCCGAGTCGGTCACTTTGTTTGTCAGTAGCATATATTTCCGTTGCCACGCGATTTACTCCAAGTCGTCACATTGTAGTAAACACTTATTATAAAATAAAAACAATCTAATCACCACGATTATCCCTGGCTGTGAAATTATTACATTAGCTACCTTCAAGAGCTACAGCCTAGTAACGACCCGAGATGATCCTAACAACGTTGGTATCTTAGCAACACTATGGTTACCACCAGGCGAAATCCTATTCAATGACGTATGGAGTATTGGTTTTGTATTGAGTAATACGTCATAGGCTCGGTACCCGGATGTCAACCCATCACACCATGAATAGTGCCATTACAGTACTAATAATTCATATAGGCAGCATTGCAACAAAAAGTAGTAATAAAATCCGCAATCTCTACCTGTATCTCGATATATCCACTTTGTTTCCCAGTAGTAAAATCGGTTTTTCGGGCGAATTCAGCTTCTGGTAGTCGGAGACTTCTTGTAGAAATGTTTTGGCCGTATCGAATGAATGTCTATTATCGATGCTGTACACCACTATAAAAGAGTCCGCCCAATTGAGATAACGATCAGCTCCACATTCGTCTTCTGAGCCAATCTGAAACAGACAACATGCTTTAATAATAATGTGCATTTTACTGAACGTATTGGTTTAACGTAGATCGCCTATTCATAAATAAATAAAAATAACCAGAATTTATTAATAAATTACATTATCCGCCGATATAAGGATGTTGTTTCTTGAAATGTCTTGGGTCACCAGTACATTTTACGAGAAAGTGATGATTATACCTTTAGATTAGTGAATGGCGGCAATTTTGTCATTGTTAGGACGCTTTTACTATTGGTTTCTATGGTGGCAATATTGTATGCCGTATCTCAAACTCAGGTGTTGGCTAGTGACATGAAATAAAACACTTATAAATCATGATTGATGAGGTATAGAACTCTTTGTTGTCCTTGCATTATCTAAAAAGTCTGGGTTTCAACATGTGACAACACCTGCTATTTCGTTTTAGCATTACGTTTAAAATTGTAAGTAACTGTTTTAATCCATTTTCCTAAATACGTTACTGTAAACACACATGTCGTTCAATTATTATGCTTATAACAATATACTGAGAAACTTTGATTTATGATCAACAATTACGGGCAGGTGTTTACCCTAATAATATTACTACTCACCCAACTCTCTGCTACATGGTTTGCCGTGTCCATGATTTTAATTAAAACCTGCTGGTTATCCACTACCGCTTCTTTACTGTATGTATCTTCTGTTGGAAATAAAAAAAAACAGAAAATGGCCAAAAATTAAATATATATCGAATTTATTGTCTCAATTCCTTTGGTACAAGAATGATTACATTCGCCCGCTCGTGAATGTGTGTATTCATGTATATTCTCGTTTTCGCCTCTGGAAGTCATTTCGTTTTGCCCGAAAGACGCCGGGAACTAGCTTTTCGGAATTCCTGAACTGCCCACATCTTAGTAGAGGAGTGCGCCCTCAAACGACGTATGTATTTCTAACACATCACATCAGTATTCAGAAGTACTAGTACATATCTATCGAAAACAGCAATGAATGAAAGGACAGACACAACGAGTAAGTCCCAGAGTAGAGGAGTGATATTAGTTATGTGATCTTATCGGTGTATATAAATGAATTCATCTTCAACGCAAGATGCCACGCCTAAAACTGTTTTCCGTACGTGTTATGCAATTTCTCACTCAAAGAATCACACATATGTAATCACACATATACGTGGAGACCAGTTTGACCGAGACTCTGCGACTGAGCGAACGTGACATCATACACATATATACATATCATATACCCCCCCCCCAATTCAATTATTATTGCTCAGATTAATGTCTTTCTTTTTATTATAACGTACTTGTACTTTAAGATAACGTAGAACAGAATGTCGCGTGATAGACGTATATTGATCTCCCGGGGCGACGCTTTACAGAAATGAGTCAACTTCATCATGCATCAGTCATCTGTCTTCCCCAGTTTATCTTTCCTTGGGTTAACATGATGCGCTATTTTTTTTATTTACGTTTACAGAAATAATGATCAGTTCAATTTATGTTTATACTGAAACGCAAAAAAAAAACAAAAAATAATCAAAGATTGGATTATGTTTATATTTCATGTTGGATCACGATTTTATGGTATTTTTCCCGAAAAGGATGGTGGATCCGCGCTTGTTGTTTTATAACAGGACGATGTACAGTGATTGTTTTGACAATATGTGGCCTGCTTTCCGATTGTTTATTTTCCAACCATTTACTCGTGAAACATCCATTAAAATGCCATTTTTTCCCAAGCAGTTGTTTTCTTAAACGATGGTATCACATGGTGCGAACGCCGTTATTTGTACCCACAAGTTTGCCGATGCTATGATAACCGGTGTCAGTACGCGCTCTACTCTGTAATTCCATTTTGATCTGCTGTGCATATTATTTCCATGTAAAATACAAACCTACTGCCAAAGGGGACTGTGGTCGTAGCAGCGACTATATAAACTTAGTGCATTTCATGTCACAGTGTTTGCGTTAACTTTGAGTTATGGCCTGATGTAGTTTGGAATTTGGGAGTTTATTTTTAACTACAGACAACCGGAACAATATTTAATACGTAATACATGGACGGCCCGAGATACAGTTATTTTGTTTATGGGTAAAGCGGTACGAAAATTCCACAACCTAAGACCACACGATGATTGATTCTTAATTTGATACACGCACAACAAATAATAAGGCAGAGTTGTGGTGACTATGGGTTTGATAATGTGCTTGTCGAAATAGACTCTAGTTGAAAATCACTATTTTAAATAAATACACAATATTAAATTTAAATGTATGTATTGTGGCGAGAATTTGTGATGACTAAACCAAATTTCATTAGAAGAAAACCGCCCCCGTTAAAGGAAACGATAACACCTACGAGTCGGTTCATCGTCTTCTTGTTGTCATAGAAATTACGTGCACATGTGATACGCAAGTAAAACGTGTACTGTTGCGATGGTTATAAATAAACCAAAAGGAGACGTCCCGTGGTCTGTATGAAATAAATCAAAACAATGCCCCCAAGACGCATCATAAAAACAACGTGCAGGACATGTGGTATTAGTTGTGGGTTATTAGACGGTACCGTATGGAAAACGACATGTCCGTCAACGAGCCAGACTGTATTATCTTTTAATTATTATCCATTTCTGTGATTTAACAAGAAACACACGCGAGTGGACTAAGTGATTTGTTGCCGTACTTTAAATTCATATTAACAAACGTATCCGGATAATTGGCCCAAACTGGTACACATTTCCACGTGACCCCGTATGTCAGCGTTTCTTATATTGATTAGTGTAAGACAATGTAAAGATACTGTTTGATATATACAGTACAACTGAATATGAGAATCGCCTAGACATGTCCATTCCCCAGAGTTCAACCAACTCTTTTATCGGAGGCTAGTCATGTGTGGTTTTCCCACTAGTCGCAGGGTTTATTAATTTGTTTTTTAGAGGCTGGGTGGCAATAAACTTTGTAATATGCACCAATAGTCTTAAACGTACCTCATTTGCATGTAAACTGAACGAGTAATTTCTATAACACCGTATGGCATTTTTACCATTCAATCTCTCATAATGTTTTACGCGTCGACCATTATATATATATATATATATATATATATATATATATATATATATATGTACACACGTCACAGGGTTTCTGTAAGTTCGTATTCAATGAAGTATGATGAAAAGCTTACAATACACGAGCGAACTAGAATTGGAAAGTCGTGTAAAATTCGCATATGCAAGATATTCTATTATCATACCGTTGCTCAGAACCAACAACAAAAGTATATTTTTTGTTCAGTCTTGATTGCGAAGTTCATTAAAGATGCAATATGGACGAAAGTGTGTCATTTTTAATATTAATGTTTAATACTGTATGTAGATAAATACACGATTTAACATAAACTAAATACGATGTTTTGGTAGTACATATCTGTGTATTCCTTTGATGAAACAAAAACATTCTCTAATACGCATGTGCACTGTATTACTGCACAGGCGTATTAGTGTTTTTTTTTAGTTTAAATCCCATTTGGTCCACAGAATGGAGTATCGAGTATCAAAATCAACAATATCAAAATATATATGTTTTTGTCCATATTGCATCTATAAGCTAAACGGAGAATGTCTACCTTTCTGTGACAATTCGCAAGTTGACTTTAATTTATTTACGAGGGAGGGTGGATAAGCATAAAAACAGCCGTGAATAAAACCACCCTCCGAGCGTAATTGAATAATTCCACCTCCGTGTCGTACTATGTTGTCGTTCCTCATTAACGTGAATTTTTCATCGACAGTGACGTCATCTATGTGATCTCGGGGTGTTGACTCTATTTTATGAGGTGATAAACTGGAAAATTACAGTGGCCGTCTCACGTAAGCTGCATCGAACTGAGCTGAACTGAACGGAAATGTTATTATATCTCCTCAGGCGTTAAATACGTATTTCTCATTTTCGCAAGAGTAAGCAAACTGATGTCAAATACATTTTTGTAGTACCAGAATTAAAGACTGTATTCGTATGTCTGTAAAGTTATGAAGGATTTTGTTGTTTTTATTCCGCACCCACAGGCAGTAATAATAATGCCATTTCACTGTAACATTGCTGTAGAGTCCGATTCATTCTACCCACAATGCATCATACCAGGTGGAAGGTATCAGCACTGACCCGTTCATGCAGGGGGAACCCAGTGACGCACACCGTATAGAAGAATAACATATACATAACAGAAATAAATTCTGGCGTTTTCCCAAAATTCGTCATGTCTCCATAGCCGCCTCATGTCTGTATTGGTTATTGACATGTGATGTGCGTGTACACCATCTCATTCAGTTTTAGTTAGAGAATGGCTTCCACAAAAGAAAAAGAAATCTCAATTTTATTTATTGGTTATGATTTGTGCTCGCAAATTATCCTGTGTGGTATATTATTAAAATATTTATGAATTTCTAACTTTCGAGTTGATAACATATGAGACAAATCCAGTCGCAAACTGATATAATGCAGTATTTTTTGCATTATAAGTAGCTAATTTGAATCTGAAATTGACACCGACATTATACTGAATAGTTAACAGCGTTTAATATAGACGTTATAACGAAGATAAGTTTGCACTTTGCCGGCACATGCATCTATCAACGCGTATTGTATTCATTGAACCACGGTATCCCATAAACGAGCAAGCCATAACACATATCACCCATGTATGCAGTATATCTTATCTCATGCCACTAAAAGTGGTCTGAGATCTAATCGCCCAACAGGTCATGGTCTGCCAGCTAGAATAGGTCACACGACTAAATCAATCCAATGAGAACTAGTTCATTGTTTTCATCACGTGGGTAGTCCTAATCTCAAGTAGCACCACCACTTCAATAAACTTGTGTATATGACTCAACCTTATTTGGTCAAGTCAATGTAAAAGTACATGGGGTTGGCAGGATGAGGGTTAAATCACTCCAATAAAATTTATGCTTCGTGCAAGGGCCAAAATCTCGATACGATATTTTTAGTCTACTCGAATTTCGAACAACTACTGAAACGGAGTTTAGCTAATGACACGAGCCTGTAAACTGATTTTATATGTCTTTACACTGAGGGAATCTGGGACTGTAATTGCATATGGAGGTGGGGTCCACCCCCAGTGGGTAACTTTTACATGTACGGACGTTGTCTCGCTTGTGTCTATCAACGCTATATTGACCACGCATAGTACCATTCTTACAGTCCGATATTATTATATCTCACTTTTTGTATAGTAAAACTATTTTTGAAATTAAACTTGACAACTGCTTCCATTTTGCGAACATTTCCTAATTTATAGTGAATTTGTACCTCTGAAAATTAACAGAATGTATGACCATTTTTAGGAAATCATAAGACGTGTGAGCTGGGAATTATTCATAATTTAAACAATACTCATAGGTAAAACAATAGAGTAGAAAAAATCGTTAAACCATTACCGTCTAAACACCATCGAGCTGTGGGAATTAAACGCTTATGAAACAAATATTACCCCTACCCACCTCAACTAGAAGTTCCTGAAAATACAACTGCTTAGGCCATGGAACAGCGTTCATGTCTATAGGTATAAACGAGCATAATGCAGCTATGGAAAATAGTAGATCTACACGATGTTTCTGCTGACTGGTAGTTTTAATGATCAATCGATATGTCAGATATCAAT